AGAGAGAGAGAGAGAGAGAGAGAGAGAGAGAGAGAGAGAGAGAGAGAGAGAGAGAGCTGACACGTGGCACTTCGCGCAACGGTACCGTATCGACGACGACGGGCAACGGCGGCAGCAGTGACGACGGGCACCTCGAAGATGGCGGGCAGCGACGGGCGTCGACGGCGGGAGCACTACCTCGGCGAAGGCGGGCAGCGACGGGTGTCGACGGCAGGAGCACTACCTCGGCGCGGGCAGCCGGCATCACTTCGACCACTTCACTGGGCAGCTGGGGGAGCAGGTCGATTCTTCGAATTCGAAGCGGGCGCGCAGCGGAAAAAATTTGCGCGGGGGGCGGGGGAGGCTCCCAAGGCCCAGAAAAGTCGAAACAGGCCTCCCCCCCCCCAACGCAAAAATGTGCTGGGCCCGCCCGGCATCGAACCGGGGCACCCAACCGGTCGGGCCGCCCGGTACCCCTGCCGGACGGAGGCTGGGCCGCCGGGCGGCCCGGAATTTAACACAGATTCTTTCGCCTTTTACTAAAGAACAAGCGGATGCCCGCCGCGGCTGCAGTGGGGGCCATGAGCAGGGGTAAAAAAAAAAAAAAAAAAAAGAACGTACAAAAACAGCTGTGTACCTTCCCATGTTCCAGTGCAAGATGCAAAAGAAAAGAAAAGATGATCAACACCCCCGCTGGTCCGCTATGCCTTTCCCGGACCACCTTCCCCTACTCCTTGGCCACCTTCCCGTGCCCCTCCCTGCCATCATCCTCTTCTCTTGGTGAGCTGTTTCGGTGATAGTGGTGCTGATAAGAGCAGACACCACTAGCACCTGAGGAGAGGCTCCATCTATTGGTGGGGAGCATCACCTGCTGGAAAATGGGTCCAGCGTCCCGTATACAGAATGAATTTAGAGTGTGTAAGGAAGAAGAATAAGGGGCTCCTGCCATCATTGATTACCCTGGAGTCCAGGGGATTGACTGAGCAGGCTATTGGGAAGGGGGAGTAAACCTCTTCGCCCTGAAACGGGCCCCAGATATCGACTACTACAAACTAGTCCCTCCCCCTCCCCTCCTACCCGTTTAGTACCAAAACACTCTTTTTTTTTTTTTTTAGCAGACTTCTGCTTACCCCTTTTTTTTAACCATTGATTGCCTTCTGAGGACCTCGTCATCATTCTGCCAGCATTGATTGCCCTGCGAACAGGGGATTAACTGCGCGAGCATATGGGTAACCAGAGAGGGGGAAAAGGGAGCCTCTTCAGCCCTGCTGCTGGGCGCCAGAGACGCGTGGCGGCCTAGCTCCCATCCCCCTGCAAATACAGCCAATTGATCTTCCGCAGCTTAATGCCTATGTAAATTATGCCCCCCAAAAATCACAGAAGATCCACTAATAAAGACGATGGGGGCGGGTGCTGTTGGATGACTTCTGTGGGTATCCCACCCTCCCCCCTCTATTGACACTGCAAGCTTACTCATACCGTCCCATACCAATGCATGTCTACCATGGTCTGTTGATGGGGGGGAAAGGGGTCAGGGAAGTCCAAGGGAGGTCGCAGCGGGATTCTTGGATCCACCGTTGTCCAACCTCTGAAACAAATATGATAGTCTCTCTTGATCGTCCCTGGATTACCATCATCGACGCCTTCTTTGCCTTCCTGGGTGCAGCTGCCATCCCACGCGATGAAGGTCATCCGACCTCCGTTCTCGCTGCCCAGCCAGTCCCCTGAAAACTGTCGGATTTTTTGTTTTATGTCTTTTGGTGTCTGGAACAGATCCAGCTGACTTTTAACTTTCTGCCATTGTGCCATAAGATCCTGGTGTACATACTGTTTGACCATATCCGTCATTTCCTCCCCGGCTATGCGGACCCCTTCCATGGCATGTATGCAGCGTCTCCTCCAGATGGCCCATAGGACGTCTCTCCTTCCTATTTTAAACATATGGTTTTTGAAGGAGCTATCTGAGGGGGAGTTCCATGTCTCGCATAGGATCGCCCTCCAGTCCCATGGCCAGTTAGAGCCGGTACCCAGCAGGTTCCACATTCTGTCCCACCAACACCATGTGAGGACAGCCCCCAGACACTGCAAGAATATGTGTTCAACTGTTTCCGGGATCTTGCGGAAGGGGAACGCCATGTGACACGACTTACACCATGGAAGCGCCAGGCCTTTCTGTTCCAGGTACGTGCGATCTATCAGCCAGTAATTGGTGGGGAGGCAGCGATGTTCTATCTGCCATTGTAGCGAGGCCAGCTTTGTCGGCCTAGCTCGCGTGAGGGTGAACCACCTAATGGTGCGGATGGCGTCGGCACCCACGTTCAGATGGGCCTGCCAACGAGTTTTGACAATGTCGTTCAAGTTGACTCTGGGGCGCAGTAATTGGTACGTGGCCTTCACAGATAGGCACGGAAGCATTACATTCTTAGTCTCCCAGGTTCTGTGCGCAAGGGGCCATTGCAATTCGTCCGGGTCAAAGGGGAGATCTGCAAGGCAGGTCTACGGCCGGTATGCTATCCAGTCTTCCTTAATTTTTAACACTCGGATTCTATGCAGATCAGCGTTCCACCACCATCTCGTCACATCCGGGGTGTATCTGGTTAGCACGTTGCCGGTTCCTTTATGGAGGAGGTCTACCAATGTTTCATTTGCTCGTACCTCCACGGCGCTCCCTACCTCCGGGTCACCCGGGGCTGCCACCCAATCCCCTTCCACTATCCTTGGTCCCTTGCGCAGAATGCGTACCCAGTCCAGAGGGATCGCGAAAATCAGTTGTTCCAAATTGACAGTGTTTCAATAACATCCTCATCTGTAGCGCCGTTTTCCAATCCTTGTTTTTTGGGTCCCAGATATCCTTAACTCTAAGTATGCCATTTTTCACCCAGCTGCTCCAGGGAGTGCCCGAGCTACAAAAAATCCTTTCGTTCCGGCCCGTGATGTTTCTGTTCCTGTACAGGGGTTGTCTAGCCACTTCTTCCCACCTGGATGGCCCGTGCTTCTCTGGGAGTGGGAGCTGACGCCAAGCTCGCCAGCATCGAATCTAGAAATCATCCTTGTCCAGATCGCCACGGGCTGCACCCCGGCTCGTGGTGGGAACAGTGCGAGAGCGCGGGAACGACCAGAAACGGTCTTCAAGCTAGGTCAACGGGTCGACTTTACGCGGTGCATGTGAGGTCAGCCGGACAATCTGTTCCAGCGCCAAGGGATACCAGGGAAAGTCCTGTAAGAGTACCAGCCGCTTAA